TACTTAATAAAAATATAAAAATATAAAAATATATTTTTGTAATTTTAAATTTGTATTTTAATATCTTCGGGAAAACCATTAAAATATTTTAAACAAGTAGTAAGTTATTTTTATAAAATTATACATTATATAATATAAAATATATACGTAGTATGTTTTCTTTGGTTATATAAAGTTTTCATAATTGATGGGTTTGGTTTTATTGTTTGTGGCGATACATTTAAAAGTGCACTTAGATTTAATAATTTTTCGTAATAATGGTGGGTAAATAATATTATTCAACATGAACAATTGTAAACTTTTACAAACTTTTGTTTCTAATGTATTTTTGATAGTTAATTATTTATGGCTTACATGTATTAATCTTTCAAGTATAATTAATGATATCATAAATTATTGTAATCAATACTTAAAATCTATACAAATTGTAAAAGTTTATACTTTTATTAACATACAATTAGTTTAAAATGATCTTAAATTAAAATATTAATTTATTTTACGAGAGAATTGTGCAATTAATTTTTGTAAAATATCTTATTATTTATTTATCAATTATTGGTGGCAGACAATAATTAGTTAACTTTTAAAAAGTGTATGCATGGTTTATTATCGATTTTGATTGGGAGATTTTAATTTTTTTTAATAATATGTGCTATCAAAAACTTAAAGTTAAAGTAAAGAAAACTTATTCTACAACGTTATTTATACTACTCGGATTTGTATCTATCTAAATAATTAAATATAAAATACAGACGAGACTAAATTTACATTATAAATAATATAGATGTATATATATTTATATTTATTTATTATACAGCTATTAATTATACCTACCTATAGTTATAGTAATGTGAATAATAATTAATGACCCATAGTTGAATACAAATGTAGAACAATGTATTTCAAGGTTTTCGGTCTCAGAAAATGCTCTAACTATAATCATACACCTTTTTATTTATTATTTTGTGTTGGAAAATTTTTGCCGTACCTAAAAAGGGATTCGGCACCTTTGTTTTCTAATTACAAATTTATGATAATTTATAACAAATTAAGGGGGGCTTTTGATTAATAGGGATTTCATTATATATTATGGTATAATACGTTAAAATCTGATGAAATAGTCCTCGTATCTTAAAAATATGCTTTTAGTTGTTTGTTTACAATTTGCGGATAAATCAATGTAATTTTATTTATAGTATGTGCGTTCAGAGTTTATAATGTGTACAAGATTTTTTTATAAACTCTTTTTGTTTTGAATCTTAGTAAATAATAATGAAAATTTTATGTTTAATTTTTTTAAGGTTGTCTTTATATTTCTTAAAAAAAAAAATAGCTAAAATAATGACCGAATTGACACGCGTGGTTTTTTTAAAAATATCGGCACGTTGACAGTTAAAGATAATAGCCAAAAAAACTTTTTATTTATTTTAAAAGGCTGTTTTACAGCATCCTACTAAGATTGATAGCAAAGGACGCAGAAAAACATCACATCACATAATGTCACTTTTATCAGTAAAGAATTTTCTGCTGTGATAAATGTGTTGGATAACTTTAAAATTATAGAAAAAAACTCTTTAAATATTGTTAAGGCAACTGATCGTTGAATTTATAATGATTGTATGCGTTTGTAAAAGTAAAACCATTCCATAAAATGGAACAAAGAGGGTTTATAATATAACAATTTTTACTGGTAGACTATCTATGCTTTATTTTAAAGTATCGTTAAATTATCTAGTTGACATACTTTACGAGTGTTCTGTAAATGTTTATAACCATTGTTTATGTATAAGCATTACACGTATACCATTCTATGTATTACAATTCAATTTTTATATTTAGTAGTATTTTAACCACATGATTCTAAAAATAAGTACTAATCGATTTTAAGTTGGGGCAATAAAAATGTTATGTATATAATTATTAAAGAAAGAAGTATTATGCAAAAAAATATTTTATAAGTTTTAAGCCAAAACGTGTTTTATATACTACGTCACAAAATATTATTAATATTTTATTTAACCACAACTGGATAATTTTCTCGAAATACATTTTATTACCATTTACCATACATTTATTATATAAATTGTATTTTAGCTGCTATATTTATCTTATTAAGATAAAATTATAAAAGTGTTATTACCCTTAATATAATTTTTAAATTTTTATTATATAGGTGTTTTTTTTTTTAGTCTATATTAAATCGAGTATTGAGTATTGTTCACATGGTTGACTAGAATTTTAAATTGAATCTTATTTATGACAGAAAACGTATAATATAATAGTATGCATATAATATATTTCCTCATCACTATATTTTAAAATGATAATATTTCCCTCTTACAGAAGGGGTAATTTTGTGGTATCTCTAACCTATTCGGCCGTGTGCTTTTCGATTTATTATTGTATGTTTGAGTTCTAGCCACGAGACCGTTATAGGGTGATCATATTTTTTATCTCATCTTTTTACCGTTATGAACATTGGGTCAAAACAGTCATCGATCATATCATAAATATAAATGTTGCATATATAACGTGTATACATGAATAAAAGAAACCGTTTGTCATTTTCAGCGTACACTCTCAAGTAAAAACATTAAACGTTTATGCAAACTAATTTTTTAGAATAATATCTTTCAAATTTATACTCGTCATTTGTTTAATAAATTATATAGTATTTAAGAATTTGCATACTCCTTAGAAAATTGTAAATTATGTACATAGGTATAAAGCAGTGTTTGATTTAGAAAAAAAATAGAAGGGGGACTCATCGGATGTTTGATAAACGAGCGTTCCACACAAAATTAACCGTCATATTACTGTGGGGGCAAATAGAAGGGGTACGCTAAAAAAAAATTAAAAAAGAAGGGGGACTCCGTCCCTCCACGTCCCCCCCCCCCCCAAATCAAGCACTGGACTATAAAGTTTGCGTAATTGATATGATTTTAAGACTTACGCATTAGATGTTAATGCGTATCAAGTTCACACGATTTTATAATTTATTTATGCTCGGTATTGTATTCATTATATAATATTGCAAGTATACCATTCATTAATCAAAAATCAATTTCGAAAAAAAAATTAATTTTAGATTTTTTAATACCCTCCTGCAGTTATTAAAAGTTTACATAAGCTCAATGAGTAATAATAATATATTGCAATGTGTGCAATTTTCATGTCAATTTCTCGTAAACGCTGATAAAGCGACCGACTCACTTTTCCGAGCATACGTAGTTCCCATGTAGCGGTGGCATTCCCGCCGCACTCTCATTATCGCAGTATCGGCGTTTTTCTAGAAAATGTATTAATGGGTTGAAAAAACTACATTCATATTATTTCATCGTCATGATGAAGGTTGGTAGACGGCATTTATATGATTTGAAAAATAGTAATAATACTTAATGCATGTGAAATGTATACGACGTACGTATATTGTATATGATTCATTTATTATATATATATGTACACGTATATGGTGTTAATTTAGTGGGAGGAAATAAACTTGATTCTTAATTTCTTCATAGTGTATGTGTTTAGTTACACCCTCCAATCTTGTTGGAATTACAATGGATAACTTGCCTATATATAATAAATATATTACTGGCGATAAGGTATTATATGACAAGTGTCAAAGAATTTCTTGTAGATACAGGCCCAGGGTCTATGTAGGGTAGTGTAAGTGTTTGAATTGTATATTTTTTGTTTTCTGTTAATTTTGGGCTTTTAAATTGACTTTATAATTAAAGTGTTTCGTTTATTCTAACGTAGGTATATACCTAATCCTGGACAGTTGCCTTATTTATAATATAATGAAACAATTAATTTAATTTATTTTTTAAATGTTCGATGTATGTGTACATATTATGATAGATACTGTTCACTGTAACAATATATTATTAAATATAGACATTTTTAATTTGCTTTATATACAATAATACAAATGATGAGTTGTTATACATGTTTACGTTGTAGCCTGTTGATCAGATACAAATACAAAATATTTTATGGACATTAGATGAAATGTAGTATAATAAATATGTAAATATTCACATAGATACAAGCCCAATGTTTGTTTTAATCCATTTTTATGCTACAGTGACATTAAAATATTTATCCAATAAATACATTTTAAATATTATTTAATAATTAGTATTTAATATTAAAAATTTTCTACAAATATTAATTAGTCATGTTTTAATCATAAATTTTATACTAACTTATATTTAACAATGACTCGTTATAATACTTGTTATTTATTGCATATTTTATTTTTAATTAAGTATATGATTAATTTAATACATAAATACACAGTAATACGCTAGTAAATTGAAAAATATTCAAATATATCTTTTTTTTTTTTTAAATAGTATAGTTTAAATATTATAGTTTATTTAACGATGATAATGTTAACATTTTTAATTAAAATACTAATAATTGGTTTTAGTGAATTATGAATTTACACTTCTTATCGCTAGTGTACACAATATAGTTTTTAATAGTTATTTAAGAATTTTAGTATGTCTTTATTCGTTTAATGTTAAAATGTTATAATAGGTAGAAAGTAGATACTTAATAAGATATTTGCTTTTTAAACTTTAAGTTATTCATATAATATATTATTTATAAAAATTAAAAAAAAAAACTCATTTTTAAAACTAACAATATACCAAGTCTCCTTTCTCATTTTATAAAATATAAAATATAAATTTGGTACTTAAAGAAATATATCAAAATATTATGATTTGTAAAACAAATAATATTACAATTTGAAACTTTTTAGACAAATAGAACAATAAAATAATTCCTAAGTGTTAAGTTACTTTAGTGTTTTATAGTTTATTTTCAGTAAACAGACTTGATTCATTAATCGTACGTTGTATGCACATAAAATTAAAAAAATATTATTATATTTTGTAAAAAAAAAAAAAAAAACAAGAAATAATTATAAAGATAGAGAAAACAACATTAATTAGATTATATTTTTTTGTTTTTTATTCTTACAGACGTTTCGTCATGGTTTTCCGTACCAGCCGACTGCTCTTGCATTTGACCCCATACAACGATTGTTGGCCATTGGTACTAAAAATGGATCTTTGCGAATGTATCCTTTACATGAACAATTTAATAAATATTTTTAATTTAGATTGTGGTATTCATAAGGCAATATATCAAGTTAATAAGGTAAGTGTATTTAATATTTACAAACAGGTGCATACTCAGGAATTTTTTAAAGGAGGGGTCTTAATTTTTTTGGTAAAAGAAATAAGTTTAAAATAAGTATAAGTACGATTAAAGTTAACAGTATGTAAGAATATGAAGTATTTTAAATTTTGTCAATCCTAAATGGGAGAAGGGTTTGGACTCCTGTCCTCTTTGGAAACGCTTATGCCTACGAGTATGTGTTTTTATTTATTTACACGATTAATATAAACGTCATTTTTGGCGAAACGAGATTTAATACTAATGAAAAATGAATGTCATCGGTTGTTATAATATGTTATAGATAGGCCTATTTTTATGTTTTCGAGGCCATTAATCATTGAAACTTTATAGGATAGGCTGCATTAGGAAAATAATTTATAACTGTGTGCTTCTTTTCTCTCTATTAGATCCTGTTTACGGCCATCATACAGTAGAATGACTGGGTGATGATGTACTGTAATAGTAATTATATACTTGGGTAAATGATAAATATTTAATAGAGAAGGAATCGCCAGTTTTAACAAAACAATTATATATTTATTATTTACAAGAGATGAGTATTGTTACCGGAGTAAAAATAATGTGCTTGTTTCTATAAACTACGAAAGTAATATTCGGTTAAAAGTTTAGGTTATGTAATAAAAGTTATTTCATCAGTTCGAGATTTAATTTTAGAAAAACAAGTTGTGTTAAAAAAATATCGTTTACATAAATTTAATGCAATTCCTCTTCCGAAAAAGCTTTTTTCCTAGCTTGGTTACGACGAATTTTTAAATTTTGTATATAAACGAAGTGTTGTTTCATGCGGAACAATATTGCTTGGTAGTTATATTCTCATTAGTGTTTAGCTTTTGGATTAACATATTATTTAGGCTGATGGTATTTTATGAAAATATATTGTCCATACTATAAACATCGACGTTAGTGAAAATGGAAAATCTTTAAATTAGAACAGCGATGATTTATTTATAAATATAATTAAGTATTAAATAACAATTCATTATATACTCAATTAATTTGGTAATATTTTTAATAAATATATATTTAAAAATTAAGAATACATAAAATATGTAGAGATACACTTGTAATTATAATTGTATATAAACAAATTAAACATTGAAATATCATTGATAATAAAATGTATGATATTAAATAATATGATACGTTTACAAATATTTTTTATATTTAGCTGAATTGTTTTAGTAAATAGTTTCTAAAATTTGATCCAATTATATTTTAGTTAATCATGCTTAAAAGTATATATTTCCTCGAATATATTCTAATCATAGTCTTTATCACTAACTTTATAATTATCTGCATACTGTTTTTAAAATTTATATAATTGTTTGCATATTTTTTATACAATTAATGTAATAGGTTACATTATATATTCATGCCATACATAGGATTTAGAGATTTATGAACAAAAGTTTTTCCAATCTCTCAATTCAAATAACCATAGTACACCATTCTTTAGAACCGATTGACCGGGTTCTTTATCATGGGTTGTACCACGAAAAAAGTAGCAACCAACTGCTATTAATCTGAGTTACTTTACATACCCATCTTTCACATTTCAGAAAGATATATATATATATATACTATGAGAAAAAACTTTGTATTTGGCAATTTGTTTCGTAAAAAAATCCTATCGGACTAGACGGCGCCGATTTTGTACAATATGTATACGTATATTTCTACTTTTCTATACTGCTTTAATTTTCAACAAAAAAACATTTCACGTTTTCTTTTGTTTAATAGATGTTATATATTTTTCTTAAAAGGAATTCTGTTCACATTAAATAATTCAAGCGGGATAACTAGTATAAGGTTATTATGTTTGTAATCCGTTCAAAATATTATAAATTAAACTAAATATTTTGATTAAAATCGAATAACACTGTAGACATTATTATGCCAAATATAAAATTATTTATATTTGTTCGTATATTTAAACAAAGAAATCATACATTTAAAATGTTTAAAATTTTTAAGTCATATTACTCATTGTATATATTTATGTATGGAGTCCTAAAGAATTTATTTATTTTTAAACAAAAATAAATTGTTTAATTCGAAATCATACAGAAAGTTTAATTTTAAGACTTAAATTGTTTTTATGTAGTTTGTTCAAGAATGAACAAAACTTACTTGCTTGATAGCTAGTAAATTAAAATATCTTGTATGATGTTAAAAATATGTTTTAGAAATATAGAAGTTAAAAATATACATTGAATATGTTGAAAAAAAAAACAGTAGAGAATCGTATTTTTTTTCGCCATAGTCTTTATGATAAAATATTGTTATCAGGTTTGATTAAAACATTTAATTTTGGTGAATACGTTTTGAATATGTTGTCACTTATAAACTATATTTTATTACTATAATTATATTATATAACAAATTGATTAAAACAAAAATAATTTAATATTTAAAATAATTAGCCATTTTCAATTATTTATTCATGGTAATATTTTAATTTTCTTATATGTATTGTTTATTAAATTATATTGTATGCAGAAAATATCGTTTATATTTATTTTAATTTGCTATTACAATTTTGTTTACAACTGTATGTCGGAATCACAAACAAAACATTCTATTTGAAATTATTATTTTGTACCAATACGACGTTTTTCGTTAAAATTTAATCAAATGTTCATTCATCGATTTAACACTTTGTCATTTGACTTTGACAAGTTCTATTTGAATTTAGGTTTAATGGTTAGTTTTTAGTTTAAAAAGAATAATTGAATGATTGAATAAATGGGTGGAATTGGCTTATTGTCATATCGACAGTTATTCATCAATAATATTCATCTATTGTTTGGATGAAATATATATATATATATACTCCTTATAACTAAAAAAAGATTAATTTTGAATATTCACATACATTGCATAAGTGTAAATAAACTATTGATATCAGTATGGCCATAATTTTATTCTTACCTCAATATATCTTTATCTACTCGTAGGTATATAAAATTAAATATTTCCATAGTAATCGGTAAGCTGTTAAACCAAAGTGTTAGATATTTAAGTAATTATAGTAAAAAAGTAAAAAAAAAACAAATCAAAAAAAAAAAAATTCTAACCAAATGTTTTACAGATACTATGTAAATTATATAAAAAAATCTAAATGTATATTTTAATCAATTTAATACATATTGCGAAATTACTATCATATGATTAAATCTTAGTTAATAATAATGGTTTACTATAATAAGACATATATATTTGATACTATACACTTCTTAACGATTATTTTGATATTTCCAAAGTTTTTTAAGTATAGATTTGATAGAAATAGCTTATAAAAACTTGTCTTAACTATTTTTTTCAGCATAATGATTTTACGATAAAAATAAATACATTTAAAAATGTATTAAAAAAAAACTTATAATTTCTTTGGAGAAAAACATTGTTGGATAAATTGCAGCAGCCATTAGTTCATTTGTATACAACACATGCTAAGCTGACAGTAAAGTTGTTTTTATCGTGTAAAATAAGAATGAATTTATTATGTCAAAATATTTTTCTCTTTACTCTTGGATAGGTTACAGTTATCTGACTTTGAATCGAATTTAAATGCGCTTTTCTGCGTAGATTACATCCTAAAACTCGCGTCATGTGAATTTTCGACAAATTCTCTACATTTAATACAAGACAAATGTATTTATATACCATTAGTATATAGCACATACCTTTCGTAAGTCTTTACACGTATCATCTATATCTTCAATGTGTATAATGTAATGATTCTTTTGATAAAACTTTATTTTAAAATATTTTAAAACAAAATTGTTTGATTATTTTAATATTTTTATGTTAGATATATTTTTATATATATAAACAGAATATGTCCTTGAATTTATTTCTTACAATAAAACGATAATCCATTGAGGTTTTTAATTTTTGTAATTATTGAATTATAATTAGATTTCTAGTATAAAGATATGCTAATTTTAGGACTAATATTTTATTATATGGAAATATTTATTAGTAGCTAAATTAATTGTTTTAAGTAATATATTTCACGTTTGAGGTTTTAATAATAATTTTTTAAATTTATTTTGCGATGAATGATTGATGTCTTGATATTTTACTAGACATATCGATTTTGTCATCAACGAAGAATACCATGATTAATTTAATTACACTTTTAAAGCATGACTTAAATGTTTTGATAATTATAAAAATAATCTGGGTATACACTAATAATGTATTTTATCGTTTAATGATATGACTTTTTAATATTTTACTTTTGCTTGCATATTTGTTGGTCTATATATAGTCGTCAATATTTACAAACAATATTGTCTATTTGAATTTTTTAATAAATGTTATTTTAAAGCATTTAAACATACCTACTCAATACTATTTTGACGAGGTATTGAAGTGTTTTTTCATTTTTGGTATATTGTTCGTCTGAAATTGTATTCAAGTTAAAAAAGAATATATACATTTTAAGTTGAGACATTTATATGTCTTGTGGGGGAAAAATATATGAACTAGATTTAATTTTAATTTTTGGTTATAATACTTTTAATTGAAAAATATAGATAACAGAAATGCATTGACCAGATAATTATAATAATAATATTTTATTAACGGAATAAAATTCCAATTTACAATAATATCTTGATGACAGTTGTAGGTACATCCGTGAGTTATACTAAAAAGTAATACAAATAATAGAAAAAATAAAATAAAAATTTATATGATATATATTAATAAAAAATATAAAATTTGACAATTTATTAAATAATAATTTTGACTTAATTAAACTTAATAGTTAGGTAATAATCTAAAAATAGCATTTTAAAGTATTCAGGGTTATATTGAATAGATCCAAGTTATTGAAATAGTTTCCACATGATATTAATATAATAGCAG